TCTCCTTCTTTCTAGTAGTTTTCAGCTGTCCCTCCCGCGCTGGAGCCGGTCTCTGATCCAGCACTGACTGCTGTGTCTTACTGTCCCACGATGTCTGTGCGGGTGCACACTGCTGGGCTACATGCATTGACTTACACTGTGTCTCTCCTCTTCTCCCGGCCGAAGATCTGTACTTCGCATGCGCCCTCCCCAAAAATGTTCAGATCTTCCAATGAGAGTGTGTGCTGTGGAGACACAGGTAAGTTTAAACCTGTTTGGTAACTTTTTTTCTTATGTTTTTGCATATATCTACTGCTTCCTAGCAGTAGATATATGCAAAGATCTAAGAGTTTTTAAATACCCTTTAAGATAACATGAAGATAGCAAGACATTTAGGGCTGTGTCAAACAATCACGGCTCAAGTTGGAATCATGTTTAAAATATGAGCACTGTGAGGAGAAAATGCTAATCACTGTAATACTAAAAAGAAACCCCTTCATTTAGTGGTAATGGAGGATGGGAAAGAACTGCTGCTCCCTGTTCAGCAAGGGATGGGAAAGAACTGCTGCTCCCTGTTCAGCAAGGGATGGGAAAGAACTGCTGCTCCCTGTTCAGCAAGAATATTTTTACTAAAATGAAAGCAGTATATTATGTGCATGGGTCGGGCAAATCCCAGGAGCCAGAGCTGGTACCTAAATTGGTAATAGACTGTTCCCTTGTCAGTGGAAATACACAATTCCTCCACTGCTGGAGTGGAGTTAAACATTCATTTGAACATGCTAGCAAATAATACTATAAAAAAATATTGTCCCAGATGTTCCAATACTCTTACCTCCTGAATATTAGTTTTCTCCCCTATTACATCATGGTGTGAATTATGCAATTATGGCAAACAAGGGGGACTTAAAGCAAATTTAAGCCAAAAAAGTAATATACTGCTCAACAGTCCTTCGTTGTGGTGGCTGCATGTAAATAGTCAGCACTGTGCAAGCAGATGGACTTTGTATGTTCTTCAACTGTTTAAAAAGATTACTTTGCACAAAATAAAAACATTATATA